TGTTGCTAACTTTGTTTCTAGTTGTTTGACTTGTCAGCAGGTCAAGGCTGAGCATCAGCAACCAACAAGACTAAAGAATTACTATGGATTTTATCACCGGTCTACACGAACCCTTAGAGGTTATGACTATGTATGGGTGATTGTCAGATCGATTGACAAAATCAGCACACTTTTTGCCAGTGAAGACTACATATAGGGGAGTAAGATATGCACAAATATTTATGAACAAAATTGTCTGATTTCACGGAGTTCCAGTATCCATCATCTCTGATAGAGGATCACAATTTACTTCACGCTTTTGGAAATCTTTTTAAGAAGCATTAGGTACATGAGTAGATCTTAATACTGCATTTCACCCATAGACAGACGGGCAATCAGAACATACTATACAGATCTTAGAGGATATGTTGAGAGCTTGTATTCTTGAGTTTGGAGGTAGTTGGGACGCTTATCTAACTTTAGCTGAATTTGCTTACAACAATAGCTTCCATTCCAGTATTCAAATGGCACAGTACGAAGCACTGTCATTCTCCTATCGGATGGTTTAAAGCTGGTGAGATTAACTTATTTGGACCCGACTTAGTACAAGAAGCTATTGACAAGGTCCAGTTGATTAGACAGAGATTACTCACAGATCAAAGTAGACAAAAGTCTTATGCAGATAAGAGAAGAAGAGATTTAATATTTACAATTAGGGACAAGGTGTTCCTACGAGTCTCCCCTATGAAAGGTGTGATGCGGTTTGGGAAAAGAGGCAAGTTGAGCCCCAGTTTATAGGACTGTATGAGATACTAGACCGAGTGGGAGTTGTGGCTTATCGTTTCGCACTTCCTCCTGAGTTATCTTTTATTCATCCAGCGTTTCATGTCTCTATGCTAAGAAAATGTATATCAGACTCATCTCAGGCGCTTGATGTACCTACTATACCGCTTGATGAGATGTTGTCTTACGAGGAGGAGCCGATGGCTATTGTTGATAGACAAGTAAGAAAGCTACAATAAAAAAAATTGTGTTCGTGAAAGTCTTATGGAGAAATCATACTGTTAAAGAAGCTACACGAGAAACAGAAGAAGCTATGCGAGTCAAGTATCCTCATTTATTTCAGTCCACAGGTACGTACCTGAGCTAAATTCGGGGACCAAATTTCATAAGGTAGAGAGAATGTAAAATCGCATATTTTAGTTAGGGCCTATTAGTTATTTACCTAAATAAATAGAATTAAAAAAATGAAGATAAACAAATAAAACAAGACCAACAACAACAAAAAAAAAATAAGACAAGGGGATTAGGGCCAAAGCCCAGTACGAGAGTAAAAGAAGCAAAAGGCTTAGGCCTTGAAGCAATAAAGCTTCGGCAGAAGCCATTCAAAGGCAAAAGAAAAAAAAACCGAGTACCTATTTTCAGCGAAGAGATTTGCAGATCAGAGAACAAAAAGGTAAACTATATTTTCTCAATTCCTAAGTTACTGATAGTTATTATTCCGCTAACCAAGGGATAGGAACAACACTAACAACTTAAGGTGTTCTTATATATAGCAAAATAATGAATTTTCTATTAGATTGAATAAAGATTCTTTTAGTTTATACCAAGAACTCGTGTACAGATTAGGAGTATTTGGTACAAGTACTAACTGACGAGAAGAATATAGTTTTTGCGCAATCAAAATAAAATTCTTCTTTTCTTCTACGAATAGTTGTATTAATCTGGGTGTAAGAACAAATAGAGAACAAGATACATTTCCTGTCTATATATGTGCTACTTAAGTGATTGAGAAAGAATCAATGCTCAGTTCCATAGGAATGAAAGCAGGGTAGTTAACTAAATTTGAAGGATTGGACTAATTATGTTGGTAACTCACAAAGTAAATACATAGATTGATTTTGTTACAAGTAGGTAGTTGAAGAAGTTGAATGAAGTGCTCGAGGTGACGTGTTTGGTATTCATGCACAAGTAATGTGAGTAGTTATCTTACCGCAATTTGTGTTTTCATAACCTGCATGGTTTATACATGATTTTTGAAAATATTACATGTTACCGAGTATTTGAAACTGCATATGGGACAAGTCCTTTACTTGATATGGTACTGAATAGTTTACTGGAGATGTTTACAGCTATTTAAAATGTTCTCACTGTTACTATACATGTTTTACTGTTACTTGAGATATGATAACCATTACCAGAATGGGATTACATGATTTGATAAGAATTGAAATGCCCTGTACTATTTTGAAAATGCATTCAAAATTATAGCCCTTGTATTTACCAATTACCTAGTACAATTATAGCCCTCGCTAGTAGGAAGGTAGAACTAGCATACAGTTACAGTTTTCCCTCAAGTAGGGACCTACAGTTATATTTGACTCTTTTTACGAAGGGGTCCACACAGTGATACAGATTACATGATCCTTTTCTGGAAACCTCCCAAATATAAAGATTTGCTATGATACAGTATTTACCGAGTTTATTACTGAATTGTTAAATTGATTTTGTTACAGGAAACACATGATGAGACTGATTATTATTACCGTTTTAAAAAGGGCATTTTATTTTTATGATTATTATACAAGCATGTTTTCTGACTTGTCCTGAATTAAAAACAGTTGTGGTTAAGTGTTATTACTCACTGAGTTAGCGACTCACTCCCCGCTATTTTTTTTACAGAGACAGCAGTTGACACGAGCGAGAATTTTGTTAATTAGAGTACACGATTTGATAGTTCTTGGTGAGCCCCGCACTTGTTCGCGTGGTCAAAGAGTTTATTTATTTGTTATCGTCTTTTCTTATGAACTCTTAGAGTCGCTCCATAGTCATTTTTATTAGTGTCATGAGCATTCGTTCATTATATTGTACTAGTCACTAGTATTGTATTTCTTTCCGTATTTTTGAGATGAGTTTAGTATTATTATGTTGATAAGGTTGGTAATGTTGGTGAAGACCCATTTTTGGTTAGTTGGTGAAGATTGTGATTGATTTAGGTGAATATGGGTTGGTTGTTATTTGTTTATGAGATAGGAAAACTTTTGGATAGTCCTAAATTAGGGGAAACTCTGTCAAATTTTCTGTAAAATACCGATGAGGCTTACTTGGGGGCACTTGCTCCCAAGCGCCAGCCGTGATCCTAAATTTGGGTCGTGACAAAGTTGGTATCAGAGCCCTAGGTTATTCTTGTGACTAATGGAGCACATGTCAGTAGTAGAATCTCAATTATGGTTATGTAACTGGCCATTCCGATAATCGTGATTCTGCGAGGGCGTGATAGATGTGCCTGGTCTTTCTTTCTTGTTCCTCCATACGTGTGTGATGACTAGGGTCAAATAGATGAATCTAACACTATTTATCTTGTTACCCTATGGCTCGAGCTTCATTATCTGATATCAGTAAAGGCTCGAGGTTTAGGGACATGAAATGCTGCCTTTAGTAGTCGTCTCTCCTAGCTAATGGGAAGAGACAAAGGGACAAGGAAGGTCCGTGCCACCGCAATAGGGTATCATACTGCCACAAGACGTGTAATAGAATCCATTCCTGAAGTAAATACTAATCCACTACCATAACTAGGAGATTGTTATCATTGAGTTAACTACCTCTGTGCAGAGGAAAAATTGATGTGATGGATATAATAGATAGAAACGAGAAGAATGAGCAACAAAATAAGGTTCTAGAGGCCTCATGTACCTAGAAGATTATTGAGAACAAATGAGTATCATTAATAGAGTTCCAAAAAAAAAATACAAACTCCTAAGTTTACCATTTTATTAGTTTGGAGGACTCATATGCTCTTCATGAATACTTAAGGTATTATAAACTCTAGGATATTTCAGTGGCAGGTCCGTGAAGCTCGAACTTTACAAACCGGAGAACATGGCTAGTAAATACAAGGCATGATACCTCACTATTAAGAATACTGATAGGTGAACGCAACTAACTTGGGAACGAGTTCACTAAACTGTTTATGAGTCACTTCCTTCCTGACAGTTGAAAGTATGAATTTGCTAGGTAGTTTAAGAATTAATTTAGACAATGAATCTATCAATATATGACACCAGTTTTCTCACCAGGATAGATATGCTCCCTACTCGATGTCTGATGCAATACCTCGAGTTTTAGGTTTTGTCGAAGGATTGGTTCCTCCAAACAAGGCAATAACCCCACATACAAAGACTTTGACTTGGATTAAGGAAGTCGATCTTACTATAAAGATTAAGTAAGAGACATAATAGGCGTACAGGAATCAATAAGAAGGACGGAGTAGAAAATCTTTCAGTACGGATTTTAATACAAATCAAAGAGTTAGAAATGAAGGACATCTTGAGATATTGATCGATCCTTTTTCGGGTTGCTACATCTAAAGAAAAATCTCTATTAGTTGAACATGTGTATAAAAGTTTGTTGGATTTGAGTTTAGAGAAGGAATATCCTAGATAACCAAATCGTACTTGATATGGCTGACTTTGACGTGCCGATGGGTATAGATTAGCTATCTTATTGCCACACTACCTCTGATTTTCATGTAAAGGTAGATTGATTGATATACCTAGTGAGACCAGTTTCGTACTAAAAGATGATCATTTACTAGTAATGGGCAAAGTTATATCAATTATCAAGATTGAATAATAATTGAAGAAAGGTGGTATGGGTCTCATAACTATGGTCAATGGACATATGAGATGAGACACATCATTTGGAATGACTGGACATAGGAAATGAGACTCATAGTTTGAAGAGGTACCAGTAGTACGAGAATTCTCAATATTTCATAAGGAGTTACCAAGACACATCCAATAAAAGAAATAGACTTCAGTATTAATTAAACACATGGCACACAAACCATATTATATGACACCGATGGAGTTGAGAGAGCTAAATGAACAGTTGCAAAACCTATTGGATAAAGGTCTTATCATACCGAGTGTTTTACCATGGGGTGCATCAATATTGTAAAAAAAATAAAAAAAAAAAGAAAAGAAATAGGTCCCTAAGAATGTATATCGACTACATACAATTGAATAAGGTAACGATACACAATACACATTGTCTCGTATAGATAACTTGGTTGATCCATTAAAAGAAGCCGCCAACTTTTAAAAGATTAATCTTTAGTCTGGTTACCACTAGAATGAGAAAGGAATATAATTTGATGTTAGCCTCTAGAACTCAGTACATACATTATGAGTTACTTGTGATGCCTTTTGCACTGGTCAATGCTTCGACAACATTCATAGATATAATATATATGGTGTTTAAGTTGTTTTTTTAAAAAAAAGGGAATCATACTCTTTATTATGATATTTTGGTATATTCTCCTCGCGAGAAAGAACATGAGGATCACTTGAAAAAAATACGTTGCAGACGCCGCCAAAAAAATATTAGCTTTTTGCCAAACCCTTAAAGTATGATTTCTGGCTAGAATGGTGGCATTCCTTGGGCATATTGTAAGTAAGGATGTGATTATGGTAAATTCTAAGAAGATAGAAATAGTTCAGAAATGGAAAAGATCAACTATTCCTACAGAGATCTGCAACTAATTGGCTTGGTAGGCTACTACATGCATTTTGTGCAGGATTTCTCCAAATAGTAGCGCCACTAACCTACTTAATACAAAGAAAAAAAAACAAAGTTCCAGTGGATAGAGGAATGAGGAATGTGAGCAGAGCTTTCAGAAACTCAAAATGTGTTTGACAACCACACTAGCCTTAACATCAGGTTCTAGAGGATTTGCAATATTATCTGATTCTTCGAGGATGGATTAGGATGTTTCGCACTTCTCACGCACATGGTTGTGTTGTAGCTTATGCTTCAAGATAGTTCAAGAAACACTAGTTAAATTATCCTACTCATGATTTGGAGATGGCTGTAGTGGTATTTGCTCTAAAAATTGGAGGCATTACCTATACGGCGAAACATGTGAGATTTGTAAGGACCATAAAAGTCTGAAGTATATATTTCAGCAGAGAGATCTGAATCTTCGGCATCGTCGGTGGATGGAACTACTCAAAGACTGGCTGTTTTATTTTGTATCATCCTAGAAAAGCCAATATAGTGGCTGATGCATTGAGCAGAAAATCTATGGGGAGTTTGGCACATATAGCTCCTACAAAGAGACTTTTGGCCAAAGATATCTAGAGACTAGAAGATATCGGTGTCAGATTTAATGTCGGAAATTCAGAGGCATTGTTGGCTTTTGCTCAGGCTAAGTCTTCATTAGTTGAGTGCATTAAGGCCACACAATATGAGGATATGCGATTATGCAAATACAACGATGAGGCCTTAGCTGGTAAAAGCAAGGATATGATTGTTGAAAATGATGGTGCTCTTTGAATGTGTGACATGCTATGTTTAGCAGACGTAGACGGGTTGAGACAGGCTATTCTTGAAGAAGCTCACAACTCTAGATACACTATACATCCTGGATCCACAAAAAAATGTCTCATGACCTAAAGCAATTTTATTGGCGGGAAGGTATGAAGAAAGATGTTGCTAACTTTGTTTCTAGTTGTTTGACTTGTCAGTAGGTCAAGGCTGAGCATCAGCGACCAACAAGACTACTACAACAAATTGAGATTCCAGAGTGGAAATGAAAAAGAATTACTATGGATTTTGTCACCGGTCTACCACGAACCCTCAGAGGTTATGACTATGTATGGGTGATTGTCAGATCGATTGAAAATATCAGCTCACTTTTTGCCAGTGAAGACTACATATAGTGGAGTAAGATATGCACAGATATTTATGAACGAAATTTTCTGACTTCACGGAGTTCCAGTATCCATCATCTCTGATAGAGGATCACAATTTACTTCACGCTTTTGGAAATCGTTTCAAGAAGTATTGGGTATATGAGTAGATCTTAATACTGCATTTCACCCACAGACAGACGGGCAACCAGAACGTACTATACAGATCTTAGAGGATATGTTGAGAGCTTGTATTCTTGAGTTTGGAGGTAGTTGGGATGCTTATCTACCTTTAGCTGAATTTGCTTACAACAATAGCTTCCATTCCAGTATTCAAATGGCACAGTACGAAGCATTGTCATTCACCTATCGGATGGTTTGAAGCTGGTGAGATTAACTTATTTGGACCCGACTTAGTACAAGAAGCTATTGACAAGGTCCAGTTGATCAGACAGAGATTACTCATATATCAAAGTAGACAAAAGTCTTATGCAGATAAGAGAAGAATAGATTTAATGTTCACAATTGGGGACAATGTGTTCCTAGGAGTCTCCCCTATGAAAGGTGTGATGCGGTTTGGGAAAAGAGGCAAGTTGAGCCCAGTTTATAAAACCGTATGAGATACTAGACCGTGTGGGAGCTGTGGCTTATCGTTTTGCACTTCCTCCTGAGTTATCTTTTATTCATCCAGTGTTTCATGTCTCTATGCTAAGAAAATGTATATCAGACTCATCTCAGGCGCTTGAAGTACCTACTATACCGCTTGATGAGAAGTTGTCCTACGAGGAGGAGTCGATGGCTATTGTTGATAGACAAGTAAGAAAGCTACAATCAAAAAATATTGTGTTCGTGAAAGTCTTATGGAGAAATCATACTGTTAAAGAAGCTACACGAGAAATAGAAGACGCTAAGCGAGTTAAGTATCCTCATTAATTTCAGTCTACAGGTACGTACCTGAGCTAAATTCGGGGACAAAATTTCATAAGGTGGAGAGAATGTAATACCGCATATTTAAATTTGGGCCTATTAGTTATTTACCTAAATAAATAGAATTGAAAAGAATGAAGATAAACAAATAAAACAAGACCAACAACAACAAAACAAAAACAAGGGGATTAGGGCCAAAGCCCAGTACGAGAGCAAAAGAAGCAAAAGGCTTAGGCCTTGAAGCAATAAAGCTTCGGCAGAAGCCATTCAAAGGCAAAAGAAAAAAAAACGAGTACCTATTTTCAGTGAAGAGATTTGCAGATCAGAGAACAACAAGGTAAACTATATTTTCTCAATTCCTAACTTACTGATAGTTATTATTCCACTAACCAAGGGATAGGAACAACATTAACAACTTAAGGTGTTCTTATATAGCAAAATAATGAATTTCCTATTAGATTGAATAAAGATTCTTTTAGTTTATACCATGAACTCGTGTACAGATTAGGAGTATTTGGTACAAGTACTAACTGACGAGAAGAATATAGTTTTTGTGCAATCAAAATAAAATTCTTCTTTTCTTCTACGAATAGTTGTATTAATCTGAAGGAATGAAAGCAGGGTAGTTAACTAAATTTGAAGGATTGGACTAATTATGTTGTTAACTCACAAAGTAAATACATAGATTGATTTTGTTACAAGTAGGTAGTTGAAGAAGTTGAATGAAGCGCTCGAGGTGACGCGTTTGGTATTCATGCACAAGTAATGTGATTAGTAATCTTACCGCAATTTGTGTTTTCATAACCTGCATAGTTTATACATGATTTTTGAAAATATTACATGTTACCAAGTATTTGAAACTGCATATGGGACAAGTCCTTTACTTGATATGGTATTGAACAGTTTACTGGAGATGTTTACAGTTATTTAAAATGTTCTCACTGTTACTATACATGTTTTACTGTTACTTGAGATATGATAACCATTACCAGAATGGGATTACATGATTTGATAAGAATTGAAATGCCCTGTACTATTTTGAAAATGCATTCATATGAATATGTACTGTTTACAAAGAAAAGTATGAATGGGAGGAGACTTTGAAGGATCCCGTAGCTAACGACGGGTTCGTTAGACCTGGTGCACCTTGTATTTACCGATTACCTAGTACAATTATAGCCCTCGCTAGTGGGAAGGTAGAACTAGCATACAGTTACAGTTTTCCCTCGAGTAGGGACCTACAGTTATATTTGACTCCTTTTACGAAGGGGG